TGCTTTTGAATAATAGTTTTTCCTAGGTAATAATGGTATGCACGGTTTGAGATTACGTTTGGTTGATTCTAGGATAATGCAAGCTAAGATAGTTGTCTAGAACTAGGGGGATCATGAAACTGGATTCTAACTCGTTTGTGGCATGTTGGTAGTTTCTCCCTATCTTCGATTTGACAACCTTAGTGAGTTTTTGCTACAACCATGTGAGATGTATATTTGTTCAAGCTTTCATCAAATTCTTGCATGAGCGCCACATCGCCAAAGACCCCAAACATACTAGGTGTTAAATTCATACATCCTCGAACCGTTCAACTTCCCTTAAATCTAATCCTAATCTAAGCAACCAAAGAAAATATAGAAGTGAAAATAAAGAGGTAAAATAAGAAAAGGCCTTACCAAGCGTCCGTGCTAAACTAAAGTACCCAAGGAGTAGGAACGTGCTTATCCAAAAGGCTCCGCAATCCAAAGCATAGGCTACAAGCAAGGTGAGTTAAAGAAAAAGGCTATATATACAAAATGAAATTGTTAGTAACTTCCAAACAAAAGCAAACGATAAAAACACTTAGACACAAAAGCTATATACAAAAACCAAGAGAAAACCCATCATCATCAATTTTTTTTTCTTCTTCAAGAAACTCCCAAAAAACATCATGAAGTGAAACAAAATAACAACAAGCAACAAACCAACGAGACCATTAGCAAAAATCCACCAAAAACCCTATCAAAGACTTCCCACCGAGCCCTACGTGCCTCCCCCAAACCAACCATAAAACATCCTTTTGACCTCCCCCCTCACAAAAAGAAGGCATCAACCGCGATGCCTATAAACATGCAAAATAGGGAATGGGAGAACAAAAAGGGAAACAAACATGCATAAGGGGACTATTGGCCACTAGGGCCGGTACCTTCATGGGATTTTTTATACCTGACGGGGGGCTGCGCCCTCTCCAAAACCTCCCGCGCCCGCGGAGATACCGCGGGGCAACCGCGGGAAGTGCCTGGAATGGATTTCCAAATTTGCTTGAATTGAGGGTCGCGCCCTCTCCAAACATGACGCGCCCTCTCCAAATCATCCCGCGCCCGCAGAAAGTCCGCGGGGCAACCGCGGGAAGTCCCTGGAATGGACTTCAATTTTGCTTGAAATGAGGGTCGCACCCTCTCCAAAACTTCCGAGGCCTCTCCAAAACTTCTCGCACCCGCGGAGAGACCGCGGGGCAACCGCGGGAAGTCCCTAGATTAAAATGCCTCAAAAAGGTGAAGAGGCCCCCGAGGTCTCTCCAAGCCCTCGGGATCCCTCTTCCCTGCACTCTAAACTCTTCATCAAACCCCTTCTTTCCAACAAGTGATGATAATAAGCGACCTACAAAACAAACACAAAACCAACTCAAAATAAAATAAAAAACCAAGAGGAAAGAGAAATGAGATGAGAATCCGGGTTGCCTCCCGTAAGCGCTTTTGGTTAACGTCGTTAGCTCAACGTGCACCACTATCTCAAGGTGGCTTAAAAAGAATCATTTTGTGAACAAGTCCAACAAAACACTCCATCATAGTACTTCTTGAGCCGATGACCATTAACCTTAAATGAAGATGAGGAGTTCAAAGGAGAAATCTCCACGGCACCATTATCAAAAACATCTTTTCACCAAGAATGGTCCACTCCATCTTTGACATGAGCTTTCTGGGGAACAACTTCATCCTTGAATTATAGAGGAGGACTTTGTCACCTACACAAAAACTCCTTTTTTCTCAATCAACTTTTCATGAACCTCCTTGGAGCGAGCTTTGTAGGTGCTAGCACAATCGTAAGCAATAAGACGAAGTTCCTCTAGCTCATGAAGAATCCAACCACCGCTTCCCCCCCCCCCCCCCCCCCCCCCCCCCCCCCCCCCCCCCCCCGCGCACTAGCTAAGTCAAAATTTATCTTCTTAATGGCGCACAAGGCACGATGTTCAAGCTCTACCGGGAGATGGCATGATTTGCCACAGACAAGGCGATATGGAGTGGTACCAATAGGTGTCTTAAAAACCGTTCTATAAGCCCAAAGAGCATCATCTAACTTGTTTGACCAATCCTTTCTATTCCTTGCAACCGTCTTCTCAAGAATGAGCTTTATTTGACGATTGGAGACCTCGACTTGGCCACTCGATTGAGGATGATATGGAAGGCCGAACCGTTGATGCACTCCATGTTTCCTCAACATCTTTTGGAAGGCGTTGTGAACAAAATGAGATCCGTTATCGCTTATCACAGCCTTAGGCATGCCAAAACTTGGGAAGATAATTTTGTTAAACAACTTCAAAAAACACTTTGTGGTCATTAGTAGGGAGGCAATGGCCTCAAACCCATTTAGAAACGTAGTCCACAGCCACAAGTATGAATTGATTACCATATGAAGACGGGAATGGTCCCATGAAGTCAATCCCCCAAAACATCGAACACCTCTAACTCAAGAATGGGCTATTGAGGCATCTTTTTTCTCTTGGAGATATTCCCTACCCTTTGACATCGGTTGCATGACTTCACAAAGCCCCATGAGTCCTTGAAGAGAAGAGGCCACCACAAACCACATTGAGCAGCAAACTCGGATTCGGCAAGAATCTCAAACCTTGGTAGCGGCCTTGGAAGCACCCATATGCCCACCACTAGGGTCTGAGTGGCAACATCCTTAAAACACTAGGCACCTCTTCATTTGGAACACAACGCCTAAGTAAGCCATCAAACCCTCGTTTGTATAAGATGGGATCATCCCACAAGTAATGTCTTTGCCTCCCTTTTGATTTTCTTCCTTTGGTTCTTTGAGAAAGAGGGTGGAAACTCCCCACATGCTAGAAAATTCACCAAGTCGGCATACCATGGGAGTTCCTTCACCTCTATGGAATATAAGAAGTCATGAAGCATTCTATCCTTAATTGGTGAACCATCATCATGAATTTGATCACCCTCAAGGCGAGAAAGATGGTCCGCCACAACATTCTCCGCACCCTTCTTGTCCCTAATCTCAATCTCAAAAGTTTGCAATTCAAGCACCCATCGAATTAACCTAGCTTGGACTCTTTCTTGGCAAATAGATACTTGAGGGCCGCGTGGTCCATGAAAACTATTGTCTTGGAACCCAACAAGTAACAACAGAATTTCTCGAAAGAGTGCACAATTTCTAAAAATTCCTTTTCCGTTGTTGTGTAGTTCTTTTGAGCCCCATTGAGTGTCTTGGACATATAGTAAATCACATGAAGCTTCGTGTCTACACGTTGTCCCAAACACATCCAATCGCCCAATCACTAGCATCACACATCAATTCAAAAGGAAGATCCCACCTTGGGGCTTGAACAATAGGAGTGGAGATTAGGGCCTTCTTCAATCTATCAAATGCCTTCAAGCATTTTTCATCAAAAAAGAACTCAACATCCTTTTGAAGAAGGTCATTTAGGGGCTTAGAAATAAGTGAAAAATCCTTGATGAATCTCCTATAGAAACCCGCATGACGAAGGAACGATCTCACACCCTTGACATTCACCGGAGGTGGAAGTTTCTCAATCACTTCTATTTTTGCCTTATCCACCTCAATGCCTCTATTTGAAATCTTGTGCCCAAACACTATACCTTCCTCCACCATGAAGTGGCATTTCTCCCAATTCAAAACAAGATTGACCTTAACACATCTTTCCAAACACTTCTCAATGTTCACAAGGCACTCCTCAAATGAAACACCCCCACCGAAAAGTCATCCACGAAGATCTCCATTTCCTCCTCCAACATATCCCCGAAAATACTCATCATGCACCTTTGGAATGTAGCGGTGCATTGCATAACCTAAAGGCATTCTTCGATAGGCAAAGGTCCCATAAGGACATGTGAAGGTAGTTTTCTCTTGATCATCGGGGTGGATGGGGATTTGGAAGAATCCCGAATATCCATCGAGAAAACAATAAAACTTGTGCCTTGTTAGTCTTTCAAGCATTTGATCAATAAATAGAAGAGGAAGTGATCATTCTTGGTGGATGTATTTAGACGTCTATAGTCTATACACATCCGCCAACCCGTGACCGTCCTAGTTGGAATGAGCTCACCCTTCTCATTCTCAACAACGGTCATGCCCCCTGTCTTTGGAACGACATACACGGGGGAGACCCACCTTGAGCTAGAGATGGGGAGTATGATTCCTGCATCCAATAGCTTGGTGATCTCCTTCTTAACTACCTTTTCCCATTTGGGGATGTAGTTTCTTTGTCGTTCGATAGAAGGAAGGGCGCCTTCCTCAAGTGTGATGTGGTGTTGCACAAGGCGGGGCTTATACCTTTAAGATCATCAATTGTGTACCCCAAAGCACCTTGGTGCTTTCTCAAAACACCACATAACGCTTGAGCTTGGCTCACGCTCAAGAATGCACTAACTATCACGGGGTAAGTGGAATGAGGCCCAAGAACTCATACCTAAGGTGTGATGGTAGAGGTTTGAGCTCTACCATAGGCACATCGTTACCTTCTTTTGATGTGGCTGCTTGCAAAGCTTCTTGGCTTGAGATTTTCAAGCACATTTGCTCATCCACTTCCTCCATGCTTCCATTAAGCAATTACTCATAGAATGCCACTTCTTTGAATGGTGTACCTATTTTGTCCTTGTTCAACAAAACATTCTCAAGAGCATCGTTAGAGGTGAGCAAGTGCTCATGCATGGAAGACACAACATGATCAAATGAATCAATCATCATTGCAATTTTCTAGAGAAGAAGATGGTTACTTTATGCTTTCATTCAAATAAAATTCAATGACCTCATCTCCTACCTTAAGGGAAATCTTTGCACTCCTCACATCAATCATAGCACCCGAGGTAGCAAGAAAGGGTCTACCTAAAATGATTGGAATTGTAGCATCTTCATCCATTTCAAGCACAATAAAATCCACCGGGAACACAAACTTTCCCAACCCTCAATGGAACATCTTCTTCCTTACCTTTTGGAAACTTGATTGACCTATCGGCTAATTGCAAGTTAGTGTTAGAAGTTAAGAGTTCCCTAGTTCAAGCCTTTGATAATCCGAATATGGCATTATGCTCACACTAGCTTCCAAGTCACATAAGGCATTATCAATTTGCATATTGTTAATGGCACAAGGAATGGAGAAGTCTCCGGGGTCTTTCAATTTGGGTGGCATTTTGTTCATGATAATAGCACTACAATTTTTGGTCAAGTTGATAGTCTCCACAACCTCACAATTCCTTTTCCCACTTAAAATGTCCTTGAGGAATTTGGCATAATTTGGCATTTGGTTGATCACATCGGTAAAAGGTAGAGAAAGATAAAGTTGTTTTAGCATATCAATGAATCTCCCAAATTGTTCATCCAATTTGTGTCTCATGAATTTTTGTGGGTAAGGGAGCTTGGGTTTCACAATTTCTTTCTCTACTCTCACCTCTGTAGGTGTCTCAACCACAACCTCATCCAATGATGCCCTATCCCCCTCATTCTCAACCAAGGCTTCCTTAGGAATCTCCTTATCTTCACCGTTCCTAGGCAATCTCTCCTCAAGAACCTTACCACACCTTGACACAATAGCATTCACGTGTTTCTTGGGATCAAGACCCTGGGAAGGTAAAGAAGAAAGGCTTGCATGATCTTTCAAAGCATTAGCAAGTTGAGAAATTTGGTTTTCAAGCATTTTATTGTGGGTCATCATTTCATTGAACTTTTTATCACTAACTGCCATGTATGTGTTTAACAACTTGGTTTGATTCTCAATTATTTCTTCCAAATTGGTCCTAGGTGAAGAAGGTTGTGAATAGGAATTTTCTCCTTGAGTCCTTGGAACAAATCAGGGTGGGGGACCTCTTTGAGCATTATTTTGAAAATTGCCCTTCCCTTGATTGTTCCAAGTACCCCTATTTTGATTTTGACCATAACCTTGATTATGGTTACCACCACCTTGATTATGATTACCACTACCTTGGTTGTGATTTCCATAACCTTGGTTTTGATTACCATAATTTTTGCTTTGATTTTGGCCACTATAGCCTTGGTTAATATAGCTACCACGAGAACCTTGGTTCCCTTGGTTTCGATAACCACCGCCTTGGTTATAGTTGTCAAAATTTCCTTGGTTTTGGTAATTCCTATTCCATTGACATCTTTGGTTATCAAACCTTTGAACATTATTATTTAACACATAATTCACATGCTCACTCTCATTGTTATCAAACTGATCAACACATTCATTAGGACAATTACTAGAGTCATGATCATACGATCCACATGCATCACAAAACAAACAACCCATAGGCATATTATGTGAAGAGGGAGGGGGGTTGAGAGTTAGAAAGAGTACCTCTCCCCTTAAATTGGGAGGGAAGATTCAAAGCTTGAGAAGAAGAAGAAGCGCTCTCTAACTTGGCTTTGATTGCGGTCACCTCCTTTCCCAAGTTTGTCATTTGGGAGGAAAGGTTGTTGATCGCATTTAGATGGTCCACCGAGTACAATGAAGATTGCTTGCTTGAAGAGTCCCTCTCCCCATCTTGCCAATCTCTATAGTACGTCACCACGTCCTCAATAATGTCCACCACTTCTTCTTCGGTCTTGTTCATGATAGGACCCCCGGCCCTCCCATCAAGGCATGACTTGCCTTGGGGACTTAAACCGCCATAGAAGATTTGGACCACTTCGTATGTTGGATTCCTCGGTGAGGGCACTCCCTTTGATACTCTTTGTATCTCTCCCATGCTTCGTAAAAGCTTTCATTTGGCCTTTGCTTGAACCCTTGAATCAAGGCTCTTGCCTCCGCCGTCTTCTTTTGAGGGAGAAAGTGGGACAAGAAGGCCTTTGTAACATCATCCCATGTTCTCAAGGAATTGGGCTTCACCTCTTTATCTAGCCACTCTAAGGATCTTCCTATGAGAGAGAAGGGGAACAACTTGAGGCGGATGAACTCTTGAGAAACTTCGTTGACTTTGATGGTGTAGGGAATAGTTTCAAGCCTTTAAAATCCCACTAGCTTGAACGCCACTGTGATCATACACTAAAGTACGGTGGCGTCCAAAAGGGAAGAAGATAGAGCAAAAGAGTCGCTAACAAGTTTTTAAGGAACTTGTAAACCGTTCACGAGGTGAAAGTTACACCCCTTAACGATCCAAGAGATCGTCAACTCCATAAGGTCATGAACCAAATAAGGGTTCGGGGATGATGGTACAAATCCAACCTAAAAGAGATTGAACCTGCCCTAATAATAGGCCTCTACTTCATTCTGATCGTATTCATGTGCGCTTTCTGACTAACATACAATCAATAGGATTACCCCTAAACCTGTTTAACTATGTTGGTTGAATTTAACGCACAAATAAACTATTATTGGCGATCACTTGAATTAATAATCACAATTAACCCTAATCAAGATTATTAATTACCTTATTAAGCGTGATTGCAAGTACCAATTCCCTTTAACATGCAATAAAAGTGATCAAGTAATAACAATAATAAATATCAAGCAACATAATAAATAACAATAATCAATCATAATCAATAATCATGGTAAAGCGTAGCAAGATCCTAGGCATGATACTAACAAGATTAATAACAAACCCTAACATTTCACTAAACAATAAAAATCAAATCTTTAACCCTAACATGATACTAACATGAATTAATATTAGGAAGAATATAGGAAGCATCGTACTTTTTATCATACTTGATATTAAATTTACCCTAGACATGATACTAGGAATATCATAATAACGATATAAACATGATATCTACATCATAATATCAATTAATCAATAAAATCCCTTAAAGTACTTACTTGGATGCCTCGTACCTCTTTCTAATAACAAAATACACGTGTTAGTAACTTCAAGGAAAATAATAGTCAAAGAGCTTAAATTAAATAATTGAAAGAGAGATTTGGGACCAAACCCTCAGAAATTAAAACCTTTCACGTCTAGGGCGAAGGCAACTTCGAATATGGCTAAGTGTTTTAAGATCTTGTGAATGCGGAATTTTGTATTAAAAAGCAAAGTAAGAAAAGAAAGAAGAGAATGTTATTGAAAGTTGATGAATGAATGATATAGATGACGAATGAAGAGAGTTGATTATTGGTCAATGAATATTGATTATTGGTGAAAACTAAAGAATAAAGAGAATTGGAACGGAGTTTTTGATAAGATATTTATAGAGAAAATCATCCAAAAAAGATAATTTATCAAAAGAAAGTCTGAAGAGCACAAAATCACCATGGCACCAGCCCTGGCTCATTGGCACCAGGACCAGTGGCTAGCGCCAGGCGCCAATGGCTGGCGTCTGGCGCCAATCCTAATTCCAGGCGCCAAGGCCTGGGGTTGGACGCCAAATTGGATTTCAACACGTTTTCGAAAATCCGATAAATTTCCCGTACAGGAAGATAAAATAATATAATTTCAGTCGAAAATGCTATTTGATCTTGATTAAGACTCTGAAGAATCCTAATTGAATTAAGAATGATAAGACCTTCTAGAATGTTCTAAAACTAGTTAGTGGCAAGTAAAGGGTCGAACCACTAGGGAAGCACGCTAATTCAACATCAAATATCACTAATGCAAGAGCGAAAAGGGGATTGTTTTGTTGGTTTTGTTGAGTAGAACACTAAAACTACAAGTAAGCAAGAAAATGATGATTAAAATCAATAGAAAATGACGCTAGGGGTTCGGGGGTTTCAAACATGATTAGAAAGAGGGGAACAATGATAGTTATCATGATGAACATGGAAAAGAACACAAGATTCTACTTAAACAATTCATTCTCATGCAATAGTCTAGGCAAATCGATGAAAGAAGTCTATGCTAATTAGGATCATTCTAATGCATCCTATTAGACACAAGCAAATCAAGAGAATAAAGAAGCACAATACATGAAACTCCATTTTAACAACTCATTCTCATGCAATCATTAAAATAGAGGTGATCTTAATCTAGCTCAAATCATTTTCATGCATTTAAACTAGAAGGCAATCAAATAAAGTGCAACAATAATCTCAAGCCATTAAAAAATCATATCTTTCATCAATTTAAGGCATGTAATCAATCCAACTATCATCATTCATCCATCATTCAATACATATCTTCCACCCCCTTCCCCTAGCTAAGAGTTTAGCCTAGAGAAGGGAGATTAAACATAATATCAAAACTAGAAATAAACACAAGAAACTCAAAACAAAACATGATTGAAATATATGGATTCAATAATAACTAGATAAACTAATAAGATAGACAAAAATAAGTAACAATAAAACAAATAAATAATATTAAGGGAAAGGAGAAGAGATTACTAAAGAAAGGATTGAAGAAAGATGAAAACTTGGATACTTGCTTGATTGATGGAAGATTAAAGCTTGAGCAAAGTTGATACAATAAAGGAAGCTTGAATAACAATCTATTTTCTCTCTCTCGATTAGGCTAATGTTCTATGGAATTAGTACTAAGTGTCTTTCTATTACAAAGCGTCCCGTCTATATATATGTGGCTCCACCCAAAAGAAAGAGACTTCGACAACAAGGCGCAAATAAATCGGAAACCCAGCAGTGCGCACCCGCACAAATGAGCTGCGCGCCCGCACAGAATGTGTGTGCGCCCTCTCAGCATAGTGCACGGCCTCAACTTTGAGGGTACAGGGATAATGAGCGCGCCCGCACATTAGTCCTGCGCGCCCGCGCAGCAGGTGTGTGCGTCCGCACAAAAGTCGCGCAAAAGGTAGCGCAAACTCTCTGGTTTGGATCTGTTTCTTTATTCTGGCTATGCAGGTTCTGACAGGGTTGCGCGCCCGCACATCCTCACATGTGCGCCCGCACAGAAGCCGCATAGTACCCCGCGCACAACAGATAGCTTGGCTTCTTGATATCTTCTTTCTTTCGGCACTTAATACCTACAAAACCAAAGCATGGAAATCAAAATAAAAACAAAGTAAGAAGACTAAGAGAAGGAAGATAAGGGAGAAAAGGAAAGAGGAAGAAAAACTATGTAAAAATGCTTAGAAAAAGGGCCAAACAAGCGCAAATGAGGGGAGAATCCTTAGAGAAAAAGGATAAAAGAGTGGCATAAATGCCACTTATCACTAAGCAGCGGGCGCAGGCGTTGGCGCGCAACCGACACGCGCGGACGTGCTTCCCTGCCGCGCGAACAAGCTACTGAGAAAATTTCTTTTCTTTTCTTATTTCTTTCCCTCATTTCCTCTCATCCTCAACCTCGAATGCACCCCTCCTTCTCACTCCAAGCAACAACTACAAACCCTAACCCCCTTTATTAATCTAAAATCCTTCTCTAATCAACCAAATAAAATAATTCCTTCTCCAAGTTTATCATACTCATCAGAAATCATACTACTTTCCCCTATTTTTCAATATCCAATCTCTCTCCTGCATTAAAGAATAATTTGGGGCTTTTCTGATTGGTGGGAATTGGTAGTGACGAGGGGTGAAACTAGGTCATTGAAACTAATCCTCCCTCGGTCAAACTAAATTTATAAACACTTAACCAATCTAAATACTAGTATAGAGGCAAGTCAAGGGTCGAACCCAAAGGAATAGTGTAGGCGTCGCTCGAAGTGCGCCTACATTAATGCACGTGTAAATATGCTTGGCACTCTTAGGAAGTGGGAATTGATATATACGATTAGGGACAAGGAAAGTAGGGAGCCGCCAAAAAAAATTTAAGGAACTTGTAAATCGTTCACGGATCATTAAAGGTAACCACG